GAGCTACGGTTGTTGCAGCGGCAGCAGGATGCTGCACGGCACGCAGCTGCACGTGCTGATCCAGAGGTGAGGGTGCAGCAGCAGCTGCGTGATGCTGCACAGCATGCAGCTTCACGTGCTGACCCGGAGGTAAGGGCCCTCCAGCAGCAGCGGAACACAGCACAGCATGCGGCTGCACGTGCTGACCCGGAGGTAAGGGCGCTCCAGCAGCAGTGGAACACAGCACAGCATGCGGCTGCACGTGCTGACCCGGAGGTAAGGGCGCTCCAGCAGCAGCGGAACACAGCACAGCATGCGGCTGCACATGCTGACCCGGAGGTAAGGGCACTCCAGCAGCAGCGGAACACAGCACGGCATGCAGCTGCACGCCAGGTGCAGCTGCGTAACCAGCAGGCCGCCCCTAGGGACACACTATTGGCTCGCATGCACCGTCTTCTGCGCTTCACGGACCTTCATCGTGATGCCGCCATTGACTTGCCCGACTTCCTTTTGGCGATTCCAGAGGGCCGCGTGCAGGACCTTCCTGGCGGTCAGTTACCGCCTGACAGGCAGGTCCCATACACAGTGCAGCTGCAATGTGCATCGACCATGGCTGTTGCCTTGCGCCGGCGCATGCCTTCCCGTGTCTGTGCTGTGTGCTCGGAAGTGTGCTCGGAGGACCAGTCGACGGTGCTGCCCTGGATGGAGATCCCCAACGTCGACATTCTACGTGCAGACGTCATGTGCACGGACGCTGTGCAGCGCTGGGGACGTACTCTGGTGTGGCGGCGGATGGCGCGTACAGCTCAGGGAGAAGCACCGCCACCGCCTGATCCGGTCCTGCCAGCTCGGTATCGTGTTAGCCGGGCTGAGCGGGTTGCTGCTGTGGATGATGATGGAGCAGGCAGGCTGGTAGATGATGCAGCGGAAGGAGCATTGGAGATGGGTGGTGATGCTCCGGAGACTGGTGATTTAGAGGCAGCGGCCGCTGAGCAGGAGCCGCCCGAGCAACTTCCGCCGGACCAACAGCCGCATCCTCCACGGGTGCTGCCCAGAGCCTGCCTTGACGACCCAGCTAGTGTGGAGGTGCCGTACTGCATGCGGTTAGAGCCGGATCTGCCCAACCGCACTATGCTGGTCGGCGACAGTGTTGCAGAACGCATCTTCATATGCAATGCCTGC